TGCTGCTGAAGTCCCATAATTCTTGTCCAAAAGCCCGATAGTTAAATGCGCTTATGCTGCTGAAGTCCCATAATTCTTGTCCAAAAGCCCGATAGTTAAATGCGCTTTTGCTGCTGAAGTCCCATAATTCTTGTCCAAAAGCCCGATAGTTAAATGCGCTTCTGTGAGATTGCATTAACTTTTTAGAAGTCTATGTATAATTCACACACCTCCTGGGTGTGGTGCTCTGTCCCATCTAGTGGCACCAAGACCACTTAGAGCAGGGGTTCTGAAACTGGAGGTCGGGACCCCTGAGGGGGTGGCGAGGTTATTACATGGGGGGTTGTGAGCTTTCAGCCTCCACCCCAACCCCGCTTTGCTTCCAGCATTTATAATGGTGTTAGATATATAAAACAGTGTTTTTAATTTAATTTATATGGGGGCGGGGTCGCACTCAGAGACTTGCTATATGAAAGGGGTCACTGGTACAAAAGTTTGAGAACCACTGACTTAGAGAGAGATTAATGAGTCTGCTGCAACCTTAGTTAACAGCCACATGGCTTTTAGCTCATGCAGTAGAGGCTCATGCATTTAGTTCTAGAGGATCCCAGGTTCGAACCTGCCTGCCAGAGACCAAGGTCTGTCAGTGTTACATATACAGCTTGACATGTACTAGTTCCAGGGGATAAGATATTGGAAGATTTAGGATCTTTCAGGTATATATCAGTACTTTAGATCTTACAAAAGGGTCTTGGCAGGTCCCCTTGTTGCCTGTGTCACAAGAAAAATCAGCCTTCTCAAGACCTTTTGGGTTCTTCCACTTCAAGAGAGTGCCTTCAGTTGACGTGGAGCAGATGTAGTGTTTCAAGATTAATGGACAGAATATTCATACAAAAGGGGGTAAGAAGAATTTCCCTAAGGAGGGGGCCTAGGTTACCTGCCAGGTAGCAGAGGTTAGTGGGATGCCACCTTATGAACTCATTGCATTCCGAGAGGCACATGCATGTATGGGGTTTCCCTTTTCCTTCCTTTTTAGTACCATGCATGTCCTGACTGAGCCACCATCTCTCCTTCTGGAGTGACATCGGAAGCAGAAGAGGTGGAGGAAGGAGCATGAGAAAATGGCAGCCCAGCATTCTGGGAAATGTTCACGTAAAACTGGCTTACATATAGAAAAAGAATTGGCAGTAACAAAACCGAAAGGCTTAATGTACACTCTGGATTCAGGTTTGTCAGGAAGGTAGGTAAAACATTTTATTAACTGCATGAGTACACAGCTCAGTCTGTGGGTGTCAAGCTTCTGGAAACCCTGGATAGATTCAGAGCTTTAATACAGGCATAAGGATAGTTATGACTATATTAATTTTAGATCATTATTAATTGACATGATTGTAGCTTGACCTTCTTAAGGCCATGGAACTGAAACTGGTGATCTCTCAGCATCCAGATTTAGATGAAGTATGAATCTGGAAAAAGTGTGCCACATTTCATCTGCATATGGATGTTAGTGTCTTTCCTTATGTAATTAGTCTGAATTTTATAAAAATAACAAAGTTTAGTTTTAGTTATAAAGTTAATTTTATGCTGATCTGTGTGTATGCTACGGGAAACAGTGAGACAATTTTGGCTGTGGATCATACATAGCTGTGTCTTATTTTTGTCAGCCCTGGATGGTGAGGTATTGCTTTCCAAGGCCTGGTCTACATTTAAAATGTAGATCAACCTAGCTACATTGCTCAGGGCTGTAAAAAATTTAAAGCCAAGTGCTGGAGTTAGTTTGATTTAGCCTTTGGTGTAGATGCAGCTAGGTCAAAGGAACTAAACAGACATGGGGGTCTCTCTTTTTTTACCGTTTGGAAAAACCAGTATCGGTTAGCATGCAAATAAAATCTCAGTGAATTAACCTAAACTGAAGTTGTATGGGTGCAATGCAGGGGAGGGCTGTACAGATCGTTGCAGCTTGTGTGTGGCAGTGGAATGCTGGTGAGCGTGGTGCATTATGGTTAGCATTGCATGTGCAGCTGCAGAGCAGGTATATGTAGCGGAATGCCGGTGAGTACAATACAGGCGAGTGCTGTAAGTATATTATTTGCACAGGTCAGGCAATATACATTGATAATCTGCAAACATATAAACTGCGGTGCTTTCTGGCTGCCCTGAATGACTGGGCACACGCATGAAATCTGTCTCTGACTAGGCAGCGGGCAGCGCAGAGTCAAGCCAGCCCGCTGACAACACCTCGCTGCAAATCTATGCCTCGGCGGTAGATTAATGCTGCTTGAGTCCGGCGCCGCAGGTTGGTTGTCTCGAGCTCATTCGCCCGCGTTTACTCCGATCACCAATTCTCGACTCACTCCCTTTGCCCCCTCCCCCGCTCACTCTTTACGCTGGCTCCGCCTCACGCTAGCTTCGCCCCTCCTCTTCACGCTGGCTCCCGCCTCCTCCCTCAGGCGAGCTCCGCCCCTCCCCCGCGCGGGCTCTGCCTCGCGCTCCTTCCCTTCCCCCCTCCTCCTCGCGCTCGCGCCGCTCTCGCGCTCCCTTTCCCCCCTCCCCCCTCCCTGTCAGTGCGGTGGCTGCGCTGGGAAACATGGCGTCGGAGGGAATGATTTTAACCAACCACGACCATCAAATCCGCGTCGGGGTCCTCACAGGTAACGGGCTGCAGCCGGGCCCGGTGTGTGTGGTGGGGGGAAGAGCCGGCAGAGGGTCGGTGCTCGCTGTTAGGCCGCCCCGCGGGGCGTCCCAACGGCTGTCGCCTCCCGTGACGGCGCCGCCGCGCGGGGCGCCACAGCCGCTCGCCAGTGTTTCTGGGCCCAGGCCTGGGCTTGGGGGCTCCGGCCAGAGGGGCGGCCCCGGCTCCCGCGGTCGTGCGCGTGAGACCAGGGGAATGGTTTGGGCGCCGCTGCCGCATGCGGGCGGGCTGCTCCGCGCTGCACTGGGAACTGGCCCGTAAATAACCTGAGCCGTGGGGTGGGGGAGGGGGAAGAGCCGGAGATGGCCGGGCCCCGGGATTGCTGCAGGTGCAGTCGTGCCTGGGCTAAGTGTCTCTTCGGCCAAGCCGAGCTCAGGGGAGGCAGACCTGCAGTTCTCACCCGGGCGGGAGGCGAGCTCAGCTAAGCTTACGCCCCCGGGGAAATGCCTCTGAGCGTGGCACGCACGGCACAGGAGGCACCTTTGCAGTGACTCTCTCCCTTCCCTCCTGTGTCCTTTACATCCAGGAAGGGGGGAGCGCGCCTGTGTGTGGGCATGTATGGTGCCACTGCTCATAGCGCACGGATGATCCTTTAATAAAGTCATGGCACTTGACATGCTATTACTGTAAATAATGACTTCTAGATCCATAGTATGTGTTGCAGCTTCGGGGTTTATTCGGCTTTTGAGGTTGTATGGTTGTCCTGATGTAGTGTGGAGATTCAGGCTCCTGAGTGGGAGACGCACGCCTAAAGCCCATGGGGTATGCCTCTTTACGGAGAATAAATCTGGATTTGTGGGTGCAAAGATACTTGAGACATTTATTTCACGTCCAGTTCAGAAAGCTTTTAGCAGGAGTTCGAGAAGGGGTACATGTTAATGAAGAGCTGTTTTATGAGCACATTGACGAGTCCATACGTGTTCAGGATGGAAAGGGATAAATTAGAAGGGGGAGCGAAGAGCTAATTAGAGAGTTATTTATTGAGCTTGATGATGATAAACAAGAACAACCCTATTTCTTCTCTTTTTAAAAATGGATTGTATTTGTCTGTGTTCTTGTCGGTCCCAGATATTGGATGAGCGTGTGTTCTGCCTATGAATGTCCTACTGGAAGCTCCCTTGGGTAGGGAAGCGAGTCTGAATGTGACATGTAGAGGGAAACCCCCGAGTCTGATGGTGCGCTGTTCTTTCCTCCTGGTGCTGAAATTGCCAGGCCACTGACTTTCACCAGCAGTACCCACCAATAGAATGAAAGGGTTAGAACAGGGACAGGAATTTCAAGCCTTACTGCAAGATTATTGTGGCAGAATATAAACGTCTAGAAAACTCCACTGTAATAGTAATAGAAAAGTAAATCTGTAGCGGTGGTTTCAAAATTTAACAATCAGATCATTCATAATGGCATAAGTGGTTTGACAAAGTGTGAAAGTCAAATTGCAGGAGTTTATACCTTTCTGTTTGTGTACCCTAGGACACAAACACAATTTAATTTTATAAAACTTAAAGTATGGGGGGAGGAGTATGGCAATTATAGAATATTAATTGCATGTTTTGTACAGTTTTAAGTAGCTTGGATTTTTCTCCATGTTGATTGGAGATTTCTGGTAGCTGGCATATTTCTTTTAGAAACTAAAAGTCTAAAAGTTTTTAGTTCTTGTACATTTTAAAGAAATGCAATATAAGCCATAAGTGATGCAATAATCTCTTAAACAATTGTTTCAGTGGCTTGAAATAACCATCTGATATCACTAAGATCTGTTCTCTGTTACATATCTGATTATAATTCCTGTCTGATTATTAAATTCTTATACTCGTTACCATAAATTTGTGGTTCCATTGAGAAGAGTACAAGGCCTGTCTTTAAAAAACAAACACACATATCCTTGTTCCTTAAATCCATGATTTTGAATTAAATTATTGAAGGTTGCACTAAAGTGTTCTTTCCAGTGATGAGAGCTGGTTTATGTACTTAATAATTTTTAATAGCCCTTTGTAGTTTAGCCAGTGGACTTTTTACAGACTTCCAGTCAGAATTTATACAAATGTATTATTTGAAAATAATATCATTGGCTGAGCTTCATTCTCTTCTCTGTGGTGTTTCTGTTTATCCATTGAAAGCTAATATTTGCACTATGAGGGTTTTTGTCCTCTGGATGTTTTTGTTATCTTCTCTCCAGCTGTGAATTCAGCAAATATAGTATGCGGTCTATTGAAATTTCTCATAAAAATGAACTAATAATTGTATGTTGGCTAATTTCTGAAAGAATAAGAGTAGGAAGAGAAACGTTAAACAAGCACTATTTTTCTAGCTTAGTCTTTCAGATTCATTCAGGAATTAGAAATCAGATAATTAATTTAGCATGGGCTTTTTAGCTTTCTAATTAAGATTGTATCTATATATTTGTTTTATTATCACTGAAGTAGTAGAAGTACATATGTGTATGTTTTATCAGTACAGGCATATAGACTTATATTCCTGTCACACTTTGAACTGTACATTCAGAAATGCTATGTTGCATAAAGAATAAATCATTATTGTTCCTTTAAAATGGTAATCAAATAGAATTTAAATGTATGGTAAAAAGTAACTGGTGTATATTGATTTGTCAGGAAAAAAGGTTACATCTAGTTCAGTGATTGATTTTTATGTAGTAGTTACTAATAGATGTATTTTACCTGTCCTACATGTTTTGCTTATTGTAGATATTGATGGTTGTTCAATAATAAATTAATTAATGTCAAGTGAATATTTTCTGCCTTGTAACGTGAATCAGTTATGTTCAAATAGGCTTTTAGAATAACTTCTGAAAGTGATCATGGTTTGTATATCTTCAAGTGTGTGTATTGCTACTTTTAACAGTTTGCTATTTAAAAGTAAATGTTATTTTTAACCTCTCTGTTCTTAGTTTGAGTAATGCAACAATTTATTACAATAGAAATTTAGAATGTAAAAAGATTCTGCTGTCTGTATATGTGAAAGCATATTTCACGTTGACATTCAAAAATATACAGAAAATGATGTCTTGATATCTTAGTTTTATTTATTGCAGTTAATGCAGCATATACCAGAGTTGTCAAACTTTTTGTTAGCTGAGGTCACTAAGAAGTGGGTATATACAGAAGCCACCGTCTCAAAATCCAGGAAGAGTGTCTTTGAAATGTAGAAGTGTATTGTGCATTGTACAATACTCGAAAGCTGACTTCCATATTTTCATTCACATTTATTGCTATGTTTTTATTCAAAAAGCTACAGCCTTGACCCTACTCACAGAAATATGAACAAGTCTAAACACTATTGATAAAATACTGCCCTAGTTTATTAGTTCTGTATTTCCTATATGGATAGGAAACCTCATTAGCTAATGGATAGATAATTGCTTTCTAGTTTTTGTACAGTGTGCATTCCAAGATGTTTCTCAGTGTAAAATTATGCAACTTTGAAAATATCAAATAGTGTGCCACTGTTAATGCTGTGTTGAAGTTAAAGAAAGTGATCACACAGATTAATTTCAAAATTTCAGTTTCCTACTTCATCTGTGTATTTATGGTACACATTGAACAATAAGTCTTTATATTTGCTGTGCTCTCATGAGGATAATACAGCAATTAAAAGGTCCTCATAGAAACATAGCACTGGAAGGACCTCGAGAGGTCATCTAGTCCAGTCCCCTGTACTCAAGGCAGGACTAAGTATTGTCTAGACCATCCCTGACAGGTGTTTGTCCAACCTGCTCTTAAAAATCCCCGATGATGGAGATTTCACAACCTCCCTAGGCAATTTATTCCAGTGCTTAACCACTCTGACAGGAAGTTTTTCCTAATGTCCAACCTAAGCCGCCCTTGCTGCAATTTAAACCTATTGTTTCTTGTCCTATCTTCAGAGGTTAAGAACAATAATTTTTCTCCATCCTGCTTGTAACAACCTTTTATGTACTTCAAAACTGTTATCATGTCCCCTCTCAGTCTTCTCTTCTCCAGACTAAGCAAACCCAATTTTTTCAATCTTCCCTCATAGGTCATGTTTTCTAGACCTTTAATCATTTTTGTTGCTCTTCTCTGGACTTGCTCCAATATGTCCACATCTTTCCTGAAATGTGGGGCCCAGAACAGAACACAATACTTCAGAGGCCTAATCAGTGTGGAGTAGAGCGGAAGAATTACTTCTCGTGTCCGCTTACAATACTCCTGCTAATACATCCCAGAATGATGTTTGCTTTTTTTGCAACAGTGTTACACTGTTGACTCATATTTAGCTTGAGATCCACTATGACCCCCAGATCCCTTTCTGCAATACTCCTTCCTAGGCAGTCATTTCCCATTTTGTATGTGTACAACTAATTGTTCCTTCCTAAATGGAGTACTTTGCATTTGTCCTTATTGAATTTCATCCTATTTACTTCAGACCATTTCTCCAGTTTGTCCAGATCATTTTGAATTTTAATCCTATCTTGCAAAGCGCTTGCAACCCCTCCCAGCTTGGTATCGTCCGCAAACTTTATAAGTGTACTCTCTATGCTATTATCTAAATCATTGATGAAGATATTGAACAGAACCGGACCCAGAACTGATCCCTGCGGGACCCCACTCATTATGCCCTTCCAGCATGACTGAACCACTGATAACTACTCTCTGGGAATGATTTTCCAACCAGTTATGCACCCACCTTATAGTAACTCCATCTAGGTTGTATTTCCCTAGTTTGTTTATGAGAAGTCATGCGAGACAGTATCAAAAGCCTTACTAAAGTCAAGATATACCACATTTAGTGCTTCTCCCCTATCCACAAGGCTTGTTACCCTGTCAAAGAAAGCTATCGGGTTGGTTTGACATGATTTGTTCTTAACAAATTTTCCATGCTGACTGTTATTTATCACCTGATTATCTTCTAGATGTTTGCAAATTGATTTCTTAATTATTTGCTCCATTATCTTTCTGAATACAGAAATTAAGCTGACTGGTC